GGGCAGCTGCACAGGGTCTAATATTTTTCATTATATATTTTTATTTAAAAATAAAAAATTATAATAAAGATAAGGGCATTTTTTTTCTTGTTCGTCATGGGCCTTTGAGAATATTTACTTTTTCAGGACCAGCTCTGTGAGATATGGTATTTTTTTTCATTCTTAAAAGAATCTAATCACATTCTTGTAAAATATGATTAATTTCTCATATTCTTTTTTCACATTCTTAAAGAATCAGATAGTTGCTATAAGTATGTTGTCAAAGATTTTTTTTCGTTGAGAAGAATGGCAGAATGTAAACTAATTCATGAATGGAACACATAACAATGGAATGTGCAATTGGAAATGATTTTTGGAGAATAAAACACTAAAGTGAAACTGATTCTTGAAGAATGGAACACAAAAATATAGATGGATTCTGAAGAACGGAATGAAGAAGATCGAAATGTTAATTTTAATTTGAAATTTAATTTTCAAAAATGTTAATTTGCATTGTTAAATTTATATCTGAACTTTTCTTGAATTTTTGGTGTGAATCCCTTAATACATGCATTTTCCTAATTGTTATTAAATAAAGTGTCCAATATAGCTTTAATGGTTGTTTTAATTTATAATTTTTTTTTAATTAATTATCATCATGTATAGAACCTCACGTTCTTTTAAATCCTGTGGACTAAAAATGGTCATACATTCACATAATAATTATGATTTATATTTAATCATAACTATATATATATAATATATATATATATATATATATATATATATATATATATATAGGTTCAATAGAGAACCATAATTAACAAGGAACCAAAGAATCAATCGTGAGCGTCGGAAATCATAATGATCAACGGCCAAGGAAATAGATGTACACTTGTACATTGGACACACACACACCGGATTATACCAAAAAATCCACCTCTTTTTTTCGTTTAAATTTTTTTTAGGCCACATTTTTTATCGAAAAAAAACCGAATATACCGTTGTTCTCGATTTTTCGTCCTCTTTCCATAGAGATCAATGTTGATATATAAAAAACGAATTTTTTTTTCGAAAAAAACTCACTTCTTTTTGTTAGTTTTTTCAATATTTAAGTTTATTTTTATCAAAAAAAATTAATTAATTAAATCAAAAAACTTAATTTTTTGTAATCTATTAATAAACATAAACACTAACTAAAAAAAATCTTCGATCAGTGTAGATTCACACTATGAATCTAAACTGTAAATATTTCAATTTTTAACATTCACAATGTGAAAAGACTCGATCAGTTCAGATTCACATTATGAATCTGAGTTACTATTATGCACACTGTGAATCTGAGAAGGTTCACAATGTGAATCTGAACAGGTTCACAATATGAATCAGAACAGGTTCACAATGTGAATCTGAACTGAAATATCGTTTTTTTTACATGAATATGAATCTATGTTTAAAAAGTACCAAAAAGTATGAATTTTGATATATTTATAAATTTTTTTCTATAAAAAATAGACATTAACTTTTCAACAAAGAAAATGAAGTGAGTTTTTTTTTTTAAAAAAAGTTCGTTTTTTATATATCATCATGGATCTCTATGGAAAGAGGACGAAAAATCGTGAACAACGGTATATTCAGTTTTTTTTCGATAAAAAACATGGCCTAAAAAAAATTTTAAACGAAAAAAAGTAAGTGGGTTTTGTTATAATCTGGTGCATTTGCGTCCATTGTAAAAATCTACAACCCTTCCTTTTGCCGTTGATCGCTTTAAATTTCGACGCTTTTGATTGGTTCCTTGGTTCCTTGATTAATAATGGTTCTCTATTGAAGTTTTCCATATATATATATATATATATATATATATATATATATTATATCTATATATATATATATATATAATATACAGAATGGACAGATCTGGATCATCGGATGGAATAGAATCAAAGGTCATGATCTGAGAGTCTATGATATTACAATAGGGTAACATGCACCATATAATCACATAATTTTCAGCATAAGGGTATTTTGGTCAATTTACCTATATTAAAAAAGGAAATTTCCAGAATTTAAGGGATAATTAATTCCTTTATTTTTAAAAATCTGAATATTTTAAATTAATTCAAATTTAAAAATCCGATTTTATTCTGTCAGAATGATAGAATGCCAACCATAAACTAGTAAATATATTTTCGATTTTATTCTTGCAAAATACATTTCCAATGCAGTTATATTTGATAATTGACCTGATTTAAGAATAAGATATTATTCATATACATCCAACTTGGGTCTATGATTTTATTCTTAATATACATCCGAAATTAAATACAAATTCATACATATTCTTACAGACTAATATCCTTGTACATTTTAATATAGTTATACATATTCTAACAGAATATCATCGAAAATAAATAACATTCTTAAACAATAACATTCTTGCATATACAATTATTGAACAAATACACTTGATCCTCTTCAATTGTCCATATAGTCAACTTGATCTTCACATATATACTTGTTGTTGAACTCGATTCCAAATATTTCTCTTGTATGATCAGTATTGAATTACTTTTCCATGCAATTCTGAAAGAATAAGATACATTACTTGTTAGTATTACCAGTTAAACAAATATACTTGTTGTTAACAAACATTCTCAAATACATTCTAAACAGAATGCATTTATATAAATAAATTCTAACAGAATACATTACAGAATGCACTTAAATCATAGTCTTTTCTTCTATATGCATAAACATTCTAAAACATGTATAAATGTATTCTGTCAGAATTACTAGTAACACATGTTTTATGTAATATTTATATTCTCATAGAATGAAAGTTGTGAATTGCACCAAAAGCCATAAGTAAAAATTGAAGAAAATACAAAAACCAATGAGTAAGTGCAAAAAAAATAACAAGTTTTAGACATGATAGATCACACAAAATTCAATGCTTAGGTTGAATTGAAAACTTAAGCATTGGAATCCAAGATTTCATTCTAACAGAATTGGAATTCGTGATTCCATTCTGGCAGAATTACCCTCATCATATTAGATACTAAGGCGATTTTGCTACTGCTACTAATTGAAGATTATTCCTTTGGTGCTTGATATTCATGAGGAAGATAAGAGATAAAATTTTCACCAATGTCTTTTTCAAATATCAAATTCTACAAGATAGAATACAAACATGATAAAGTAATTGTTTTATATGTTATCTGAAACTATTCTATAATTATATGTGCCTGAAGTCGGATGACTTCACCATCTGATTTTTTTGATGTACTGGTAAAATTCAGGTTGAGCAAGTGAATCATTGACTAAAGACTTCACTATCTTTATATGACGGATCTCAAAAAATCAAGAATATAGTATCAAATGGGTAAATAAAATTAGGGAAAATCAAACACTTACATATAGTGTTAGAACAACTTCCATTACAAGGCCCCTGAATGCAGCTCCAATGGGTTCGCCGGTGGTTGAACAGATCGCAAGGAAGAGAGATCTAATCTCCGGCAGGCTTCCCTTGGTTCACTATCTCCGTCTCCGTCAGCCACCAATCGTGGAAAGGAAAGGAACGGAGGCAGCAGTGCTACCGTGAAGTGGCAGCGAAGGCTGCTCCTTCTTCTATCTGATAACAATCACGCAGGGAGGAAAAGACTTCGGTCCTCTGTTGATCGAAGAAGAAAGAAACACAAAAGCAATTAGAAAATGGCCGGTGAATCTTAATCTATCGCAAGGAAGGGTTGCAATCGGCGGTGGGAAGTCGCTGATTTTCTTCTCTTTAGTGGTGATGTTCCAGGCAGGAAATGAAGGTAAATGCTGCCGGCAATTATGATGAACTGGTTATGGGTTTCGGCAAAAGGGGTCGATGATATATAGGGGTTTAAAACTGATTTTACTAAATTAAAGGGATATTAAATGGTTTAATTATTTACTATAATTAGATATAACCAAGATTACTATCATACCCTTATATTAATTAATAATGATTTTTTTTTCTGATTGGTGCATTTAGGCATACAATATTTGTTGGAAACATTTGAACCTCTCTCTCTCTCTCTCTCTCTCTCTCTCTATATATATATATATATATATATATATATATATATATATATATATAGGGAGAGGATCAAATGAGAATACCTAAAAGGTTGAGAACGCGAGAAAAATTCTGGACCAATCAATATATAAGGGCATACTAGTAAATGTATATTTTAATTAAATTAAAATAAAATAAAATTCAATCAAATTCTCTTAAATTTAGGATCAGTTACCAAAAAAGAAATAAATATTCAATTTTTTATTTTTCTTATTAATGAAATATAAAAAACATTTTTACCAAAATTTATTTTAAAACTGAAAAAAAAATTCTTAAAAAAATCAATTTTTTTCTCCTATTTCACCTTTTTTTTGTGTTAAAAAAAATGAATAGAAATCGAACACCAAATTAGTACATTTGTATTCATAAATGATTTTTTTTTTCAAAAAACCTGATACTACTCCAATGACAAATAAATACACATCAATTTACAAGTAATCTAATTCCTTTTTTTAATCAATTGAAAATAAAAAGAGTGTAAAAATTATCATTTCTTCATAAAAAGAATACCTCTAATCATAAATAAATATACTCATTAACACATGCTTACACTGTTATTCACAAATGAATACACTGCTAATAAGAAATGAATACCCTGTTATTCAGAATTGAATAAATGAATACCTCTAATCATAAATAAATACATTCATTCACTGTTATTCACAAATGAATACACTTCTATTCACACATGAATGCACTGCTATTCATTCACTATTATTCACACATGAATGCACTGCTATCCACAAATGAATAACTGCTATTCATAGATAAATAGAATTATTCATTCTTTCATTTCCTCTCACACTCCCTTCTTTTTCTCCTATCTTCGAGGTGCAACAAAAACACCCCCACCAGAGGTGTTTGCTGGTGGTATCCGGCGAGCCAAGGGCAGCAGCCCCCTCCGTTTTCTCCCACTGTTTTACGACACACCAAGCAACCCAAACACCCCCTGTTGTCGTTTTCTTTCTGCCTCCTTCCCCCTCTCATCGACAGTAACTGGAACAAGAAAAAGAAGTGGTGAAGAGGTTGCCAGAATAGCCCCAGCCACTCCACTACTGCGATGAACCACCAAATCGGTGGATGTGCTCCCTATTCTTCTTTCTTCGCTCCTGAAACAATTTCATACTTCATCATTTCATGTTCTTGATAAAAAACCCCAAAATCGGAAAAACACCAGCAAACACCTCTGGTGGATTTAAAGTGAAAGAGATGGATTTGCAACTCAAAACATCGAATAAAGGTGATATATCAATGAATCGATTCTGAATAAATGAAAGATAAAGGAAGCCCTAATCATACCCTTTACCCTTCGTAACCAGGAAACCACCATCGACATAGCCTCCATCATCAACCTTTATCTTCACAGCAACATTCAAGCAAAATCGAGACCATACCTTCCAACTTGAAATCGATTGCTGGTCTAGAATCTCCAATGAAAACCGATGAACTAACATCGACTTGTAGGAGTGCTCTTTCGCTGATTCAAACAAAAAAAACCGAGAGCAGCCCAAATGATTTCTGACCTGTTTCCGTTCATTGTCACTCGATCAGACGAGGATCGAACATTCCCCAATCGACTATGCCTCCAGATCCCTGCTCCGTTCGTGAATCCTCTCCTTCTGATTAAAAGCAATTCAGAGATCTTGTTTCCCTTTCCCCCTTTTTGGCTTCATCGATTCCAATCTGTCTCACCATTCTTTTCCCTTTTGTGGTGGATCGATGATGTAGGGTGGAGGGGTACCTAGGTTTACAGAGAGAGATGGGAAATAGAAGGAAATAGGCGAGTGATTGAGGAATTATAGGAATTAAATAACAGTGGTTAAGGTCCAATTACTATAATACCCTTATCACCAATTGAAGTTACACTTTAATACCTGTAACTTTTAAAATTTTACATAAATGGCCCATTCAATAATAACCTTAGATTTAGTTTTTTAAATGGTTCAGATCTGTTCTCGCGTTCTCAACCTTTTGGGTTTCTCATTTGATCCTACTCCTATATATATATATATATATATATATATATATATATATATATATATATATATATATATATATATATATATATATATAGGGTTGAGATCGGTTGAGAACTCAAAGTTTACCGAGAACCCGAGAACTAAAAGTGGAGCGTTGGATCAAAAGTAGTTCCTTAACGACATGATCGTCATCTTGCCAATCCCATTTAATGTTTAATTTTTTTGTGTTATTTAATATATTAATATAAATGTCTAAAAATCAACAAAATAACTCAAAATTTCGGATTTATTTAAAAAAAAATTTCGATTTTTTAAAAAAATTGAGATCTTTTAATTTTTTTCAAAAAACATGAATTTTTAAAAAAAATGAAAAAAAATATTTTTAAAAAAACTGCATCTTTTTTTAAAAAAAAAACTGCATTTTTTTTTCAAAAAAATATGATTTTTTCTAGAAAAAAACTGTATTTTTTTTTTCAAAAAAAAGGTTTTTTTTTTTTCAAAAAACTGCATTTTTTTCGAAACAAAAAAAAAGCCCTGCGATTTTTATAAAAAAAAAGTGCAATTTTTTTCAAAACTGCATTTTTTTAACAAAAAAATCAACGTTTTAGGTGCATATATGCATATTTTTTCAAATGCATATATGCATATATGCATATTTCTTATACTATAATATTCGTAAGTAAATTATAAAAAAATCTAATTTTTATTAATCAATTTATAAACATAATACAAGTATTTTATTCGATACAAAATAAAATATAAAAAAATACAAAGATTCACAGTGTTATCATTTCTTCATATCAAGATTTCCATATTTTCTTCAATTTATCACTTTTCACATCTTCAATATTTTCCAAAAATTCTTCAAAATCTACAGGAAAATAAAAAAAAATTGATTAATGCAAGAACACGCACATGTATATATCATGTAAGATTCACATGTGATTATATAATGTGATTGTATCTTTTAAGATTTAAATGTGAAATTCATAAGAAAATTTTAAAAAATAATTAACGAAGAACAGTTACACAAAATGCATGTGTGAATATAGACGTAATTCATATGTGATTCATTTGTGATTTACATGTGAATCACATGTAATTCACTTGTGATTTACATGTGAATCACATGTAATTGATATGTGATTCACTTGTGATTTACATGTGAATTACATGTGATTAATATGTGATTTACATGTGAATCACATATAATACATATGTGATATGTGATTTACATGTGAATCATATGTAATTTATATGTGATTTACATGTGAATCACATGTAATTCATATGTGAATTACATGTGAATTAAATCTAATTCATATATGAATTACATGTGATTCATATGTGAATAACATGTGATTTACATGTGAATAACATGTGAATCACATCTAATTCATATATGATTTACATGTGATTCATATGTGAATAACATGTGATTTACATGTGAATCACATGTAATTCATATGTGAATTACATGTGTATCACATGTGATTCATATGTGATTTACATGTGAATCACATGTAATTTACTTAATAAGGTTCGAAAAAAAATCAAGAAGAGAAGAAAAAAAGTTACACAAGGGATTTTCTAGAAGGTTGTCATTGTTGGTTCCAACATCAATCATGATAGCAAGAACCTATTACAAAGTACAAGTCTTTGTTCCAACATCAATCATGATAAAAAAAAATTCAAATATAAATTATATTGAAAAAAGTACGGATTCAAGGTAAAAACCAGACGTACCTCCACCACCATTCATGATCCTCAGCAGCAAGTTGGAAGTAAGTCAAAGTAACGGTGATGAAGGCAGTGACAATCAAGAGAATGATGAAAACAATAAATAAGATGCTGTAAATGGTGTAAATTTTGTGGCCCCACACACTGGCGAAGATGTAGTAAAGCTCAATATAGATTGCACTGAAAGGGAGAAAGCCAGCCATGACCATTTGAGGGATGGTTTTTCTGTACCATGGAAGAGGTGGAATCTCTCTGGGGTACTTTGTGGTGCGAACAGGAGCTTAGAATTCAGCTTTGCTGTTTTTTCTAGCAATACCCCCGAGAACCAGTAAAGGTGATGTCACCAAACTCCATATTAAAACAATCACTACAATTGTCCCAAAAGGTAGTGCAGTTGTGGCTGTGTATGCGATTGCAACCGTGTTTAGGAAGCATAAGGTAAGAAAGAGGGGCCCACAAAAGAGGCATCCGGTTAATAGCAGGTTTCTCACCTGTTGATGAATGAGATTGAGATATGTTAGATTTGAAACTGTGTGGTGAAGAAAAGGGTATATTGGTAAATTTGTATCATACCCAGTTGCTTCCTTCTAGCTGGTGGTAGAAAGAGGATGCAGTGTAGCCTGCAATCCCAGAAGTAAGAGCATATATAACAACCAATGCAGTGAATAGAGCTCCTCGATTATATGGATAAAATACACCCACAAGTGCGAGTATGAAGATAAAAAGTGCTCTGATTTAAAAAAAAAGTTATCAATATTGAGAATTGAATATTGTACTAAAAATTTGGAATAATTAGTTTACTTACAGAGCAAATAACTGGGTCCCAGAACCAAGGGCAGCAGCAAACAAAGACTTGTACTTTGGATACCTAAACAAAGACATGAATGTCTCTTGTAATTAAACTTCCCCACACCTGCATTGACATGAGAAGATTCTGCGTTAAGTAAATTGTGGTGAGAATTGACACAATAATTGTTAAAAAAAACTGCAATAACAAGTGAGAGCATAAAAGAACCATAAATTCTACCATTAATAAGAGCCAAGAAACTGGCATGTAGGGGTAAAATATAAACAATGTAGAAATTCTAAAGTTTGTAAGCAAGAACATGTATCTGGAAGCGCATCTGAAAACTTAGGCAATAAAAGTTTAACTAACTTAAGAACTTTACCTCATACAATTCATGAAAAAGAGCCAGAAGTACGCAAACCAAACAATAAAAATATCAACAAACTGTTGTTTCCTGTTATTCCCAGTGTTCCTCTCATGCTACAGTCAACAATATAAAATCCTTACACTCTCAAAATCTTGATGTTTCCAATAATGTTGTTCCTAGTATTGTCAAAGTGGAGCATCCAGCATTGGACATTTCCAAAAATCATGTGAATTGTAATGATTTGGTATTCCCTATGACTGTTAACATAGGCTTTTCATTGGACTATTCTCTACCCTCGGGTTTTAATCCTTCATAAACACACGTCCTTTGGAAGAAGAAAATGTTGTTTCAGGGAGTAATGTGAATCATGCTATTATTACTCCAATACAGTCAACCGAGAATGAGAATCTTAATTTATCACTTGTCACTGTGGCCTCTCTAGAAAATGAAGTTCATCAAAGTGGAACTAGTTTTGAAGAAGATGATAAAACTAAGGTCAAAAGATTAATTAGTGAATTCTTTAAGATTGGTGATTTGGTGAGAGATATTGTCGATTCTAGGGTTTCCGCTATGATTTTTTGTGTAATCATCGCCTGTTGAACAGCGTATTCGACCCATTCAACGGCAGAATCACCGGCAAATGGTTTGACTTTCTCCAATACGCCGAAATCAGCCACGGATGAAGACGAATCAGATGATATGTTCGATTTGTTTTCCGATGAATCCTCCATATTTCGCTGGAGATCCGAGTAACAAAAAGCTAAAGGATCTGTTGAATCGCAAACGAGATAATTCGAGGAGGGATTAGACTTACCAGTTGACGATAACATAAACAAAATAGCGATAATGACGAAAGCATTGCGAGAAGATGATGGAGAAATTTTCCGAAGCTTCTTCTTCAATTCTTCAGGGATTAGACGATTGAGACGACATTAAGGGAATATAATCGATCTGTTGATCCAAATCACACTGTCGGTCTGTTGTTTCTTCGATTAATCATCGACGAGCTGGACATTAGGGAGTGTTCATGGCTGGAGGTGGGATGAAGGTAGGAGAGAGGCGAGATGATGAGATAGAGAGAGAACGGGGGAAGGGGAAAGGCTTGACATTAGGTTATCTCTAAAATGCCCCCAATTCATGTGAAATAAGATGCTCCCGCCTCTTTTTTCCCCTAGTTATTTACAAAAATGTCATAAATCATCCTAACCTTCTATTATTTTGATCTAACGGCCTTCGTTTGGTTCTCGGTTTCTCGGGAAACTTTGAGTTCTCAAATGATTCTTCCTATATATATATATATATATATATATATATATATATATATATATATATATATATATATATATATATATATATATACACACACGTGTGTATGTTGGAATATGATCATGTCATGATTATTAATCAAAAGAACATCTGTAGCTACTCATGTATATAAATAACACCACACAAGGAAAGGTAAGTCGAGCCCTATGTCTTCCTTGCGCTAACGTCTCAACCTTTTCAATATTCTCTCATCTTCACCTACACACACTTACGCACAAGAGAGTTCGTGAGAGTTCCAGATAGTGTATTAGTGTGTATAGATATAATATATTATATATCAAGTCAGAGAAAGAGAGGGAAAAAGATGAGTATTATGTGGAAAGTCTAGAGAATTGTAAAGATCACATGAACTACAGAGGATCAATCGTGTTGGGTTTCTATTGTTGGGACTGGGAGTTCTTAACTGCTCTTCTTCTTTTTATCTTCTTCTAAGTTAACTTTCCTAAAACACACACAGGCGCACACAAGTAGATAATTAGATAAAGTTATGGTGGCAGAGATACGTGGCTGCGTCGACAGTCATGGTGCTCAGTTGTTGGTAGATTTTGTCTCAAAGTCGTCTCCATCGCCCTTCCTCCTGAAGACGTACATGCTGGTTGATGATCCGGCCACCGATCACGTCGTGTCATGGAATTCTGACGGGATGGGGTTCGTGGTTTGGCAGCCGGCGGAGTTCGCCAGAGACTTGCTTCCGACACTGTTCAAACACAGCAACTTCTCTAGCTTCATTCGCCAACTCAATACTTACGTATGTCTCTCTCTTTCTCCTCGTTCACGCTCTTACTATTTCTTTCCTTGTTCTTCGGTAGTTTTACCATCTTCGCTAAAATTATAATCATTCATATCATAATTTTTATGTATAGATGTAAACAATGATTGTAATATGCAATTTTATTTTTGTAGTTACCTTTTTTTTCATGAAAAATATATTTATAATTTAGATAAATTGTGAAGTAAGGCATAATTTTCAATACAGGGAAACTAGAATTTCTTTGACTTTTGATGAGCTTTGAATAAGAGTAGTTGGTGGGTTGGATAATTAATCAGATGAATCGAATTACATCAAATATTTTTTATTATTGGTTTGGAAGTCATGTTAAATAGTATGGTATTTTTATAAGTTAAAAGATATATACATAACTGTTGACAACAGTATTTAGAAATGAAGAACACATATAGTAATAATAATTATATTTTTCATATTGTTAATTATTTTATATAATATTTTTAGAGAAAAAAAAATTGCATGTATGTGTGTTTTTTTATGATCAAATCGTTTAAAGTTAAAAAGTAAGTTAGTTACATAAAAAATCAACTTAATTCCTTTTGAATTGTATATTCACGTAGAGACGTAATTCTATGATGTATTTATAGGGTTTTCGTAAAACTTCAACAACCCGTTGGGAATTCTGCAACGAAAGGTTTCACAAAGGTCATAAAGAACAACTCTGTCAAATCCGAAGAAGGAAATCATGGATAAACAAGCCTCGGCCAATCGCCCAATTAACCCTGAAAGAATCAGATGAAGATCAAAGATCTTCATCCAGTAATTCTTTATCCTCAGGGTACAACATTCTCGTGGATGAAAATCATAAGCTCAAGAAGGAAAATAAAGTTTTGGGCTTGGAACTTGTGAGCATAAAAAAGAAGTGCAAGGAGCTCATTGATTTGGTTGGTATGTACACTAGTAGCTCAAGCTCAAAGAAAGAAGAGGAGGAAGATGAAAGGCCAAAGTTGTTTGGGGTGAGATTGGAGGTTCATGGTGATAAGGAGAGAAAGAGGAAGAGGATTGAAGAGGTTGGTGAAAGTGCAAGAAGAATTTTACTTTCGGTAAATATAAACAAATAGATATATAGCCACTTTGATAGAAAGTTGTAAAGAATCGTCATGTTAAGATATGCTATACGTCATGCTATGTTGTGCTTGTCAAATTCAAAATTTGGAAACATAATCAAGATTTATGTTTCATCTCTAATCTTTCATAAAATAAGTCCGTCGATCATATGAAATTATGTTAATACACATGCTAAAATAAAAACATTAGAATTGCAAAATCATTAAAAAAATTAAAAATGAAACCAAAACAATGGAAAAATGCATGCAACAATATAGTACATGTCCCTCTTTATCAGGGTGTAGCTACTCATTGACCTGCCTTTTTTCTTTTTTAATACAATAATTATATATAAAAAAACATAAGAAACTATCTTATTTTTGCAAAACAACCTATATTTTCATATTTTTTTTCCGTTTCATTAATATAAGGAATCACTTTGAATTTGGTTCTAGATTCGCGGCTGCAGTCTTTATCCTGTCTTCTAAACAATAAATTGGATTAAAAAATAAATAAGATAACTAAAACCAAATAAAAGATAAGGCTGACAATACAACTAGCTAGACCTATAAGCTTTCGAAACTGATAAAGAATAGTGAGACCAAACTAAGAGTAAGGTACATCACAGTAGGTTTAAGTGAGAATATGTGGAGTGCCACAAAATTGATATGGCATGATTCCAAAAAGCATAACCATTTGTTTTTTTTTAATAAAGATTAGATATCCCGTTACTTTCTTATTTTTTGTCTATAATGGTTGAAAGATAACATGTTTTTATGTTCAATGTAAACGCGAAGACTTTCGAAACACTTGGCCTATTTTTGAAATAGATGCATATTATTAAAATATTAATTCAAACTAGGTTTATCCAATGCATTGGATGTGTACGTATGATCAAAGTCCAAGTACAATGAGTAATTTTTTCTAATGAAGAATTTTATGTCGTGTGATGAATATAAATATGAATAAATGGTCTTGTATTTGACCTTTTGATAAATAACCAACAAGACTCATTCCTTTCCGGTGACCTATAACTATTTAATTAATACCTTTCTTAAATTAGTTTTCTTGTTTTATTTTCTATTCTAATTAAAATAAACTCAAACTATTATAACTCGAACAAAATGACAACTCGAACAACCGAACGACTGAAATCGACACATACATAAATGGAATGGATTAACTGAGTGCCCATGTGCAGGGCCGGCCATGAGAATGTATCGAGTGTGCTACCCCATATGGCCAATGTTGTGAAGGAGCCCAAAATTTTGATCCGTCAATAATCTAACTTTAATCCATCACTAGTTCATCATTAATATATTGTTAATCCATCATTAATTCGTGAATCTTATATAAACTGCAAGAATAATTATTGGGAATTTTAAGTTACAAAATCATTGAACATCCGGAAATTCTTTTAACTTTTAAAGTTACATGCAACCTAAAATGGATCTGTAACATTCCAAATTCACGATAAAATTTTTCATTTTTCAATTAAATAAAATTGTTGTTTCAATCAAAAAACTCAGGTGATAAGAAACCAAGTATCAAATACAAATATCCCAAAGATCAATGTATCATAAAATCTCCAAAAACATGTCACCGAAGGATGTGTACGATCATGCATTCGTCTTGCCCCGATCATCCGAAGTACCAGAAAAATAATACTTAAACTGTAAGCCAAAACTTAAAGAGTTTCCCCAAAAAAAATACCACCATACACAACAGATAAAAGTATGCATGTTGGGTCCACAGTCATCGGACTGGATTACCCCTGAGCCCACAACATGAGTCTGGTTTGCCTTCTTGGCCCACAACTTATGGCTGGCTTGCTCTCGGGTTTGGTGGCTTCCGTACAGAGCAGTAATACATCAACCCACCTACACTATGTCGACATATGCAACAGATAATATATATAACAACAACATATAAACATACAGATCTAAACAAATCATTACAACATATCAACATCCAAAACCAGGATACATAACCTACCGGGCCGACATTGGTGCATTTGACCCATAAGTACAATGAGGGAAAACTCACCTCACAGTCTGAAAAGATAGCTGAATGAATCACTGCTACAAATAGTGCCTCTACTGATCACCTATACATATAACAGGGACTCAGGCTTCAATCTACTACTCAAAATACCCCAAATGACCTAAAGTCAAACTTGGTCAAAGTTAATAGTCAACGGTCAACGTCAAAGTCAACTCCAGTTGTTTGCCACGCTGTGGCCTTCCTTGGCCACGTCGTGGCCGCAAATCGCCAAAAGAGACGGCTTTAGCGCAGTTTCCATGTCGTGGCAACCTAAGCCACGTCGTGGGCACTAGGCTCCCAACAAATTAACAGATTAAGTCAATTTCTTTGATCCTAAGGGCTCTAAAGCCCGGATCGTGTCCATTCAAAGGTCCAAGTGGATAAAGTTTTCAACTTTATTCCTTTAGACCCACTAAGAGATAGAGATCTCATTTCCTAGCTCTTGAAAGGGCAAAACACAACTTGGCTTAACTCATTAAGCACTAAATCATGAAGGCTTATAGTTCCATACTTCCAGAATCACTTCTAACATTACATAACAACATAAAAACCCTTGCTTTCCATACATGCATGTCCAATGTATGTCTTGGACTTTATTAGGTCAAAATGAGGGTTTTTGGCCAAAACTCCCATGGATGATACTAAAACTTGATATTACTCCAGATCCAAAGCATCAAAGGCCCTAAGTGGCATACAGATTCATAAAGTTGCAAACTTTATGAGATCTCACTACTCAATAATCAAGGACATGAAGATTTAGGGACAAAACTCAAGATCCAACCACCTATCGTGATAAAAATCGAGTCTTGGACACTTACAAGGGTTCAGAATGTTGTTACAACAAAGGATGATGGCTTGCTTTCAAATTCTAAGCTCACTTCTTCTTATTCCTTTCTTCAGTGGGTTCAAAAAGCACTAAAAACAAGGTTTAAACAAAGGAGGAGTTTAGGGTTTTCAAAATCTCAAAGAGGCTGAGGGTGAGGAAACCCTAGCCTCCTCATTCTTTTAAATATAGAGCAAAACCCAGAAATAGGGTTTTGTCATTTGTCAGCTGCCATCTCGTGGCCATATACTGCCACGTCATGGTGGCATTAAATGAACCCGAAATTTCTTTCTTGAAGTGCCACATCGTGTAGCCTTTCCCACGTCGTGGCAATCTTAAAATGCTTAAAAATATTAGAAATTGAAGTACCTCGGGATTCGGATGTTACAATTCTCCCCCACTTGATTCAGACTTTGTACTCGAAGTCCGACGTTGTGAATAACTTAGGGTAGTGCTCCCACATCTCTGCTTCAGGTTTCCAAGTCCATTCAGAACCCTTCTTATGCTGCCACTAAACCTTGACCAGTGGGACCACCTTGTTACGCAAGGTATTCGACTTCTTATCCATAATTGCCACTGGTTTGTCAATGTAGTTCAAGTTATCATCGACCTGAATATCGTCCAATGGAACCACTGCCAAATCATCAGCTACACACTTTCGTAGCTGAGAAACATGAAAAGTGTTGTGGATCTGTCTGAGCTCCTCAGGCAAATCCAACCAAGAGGCTACCATGCCTACCTAGTCAATCACTCGAAATGGCCCGATATATCGAGGCCCCAATTTGTCCCTCTTCCTGAAGCGTATTACACCCTTCCAGGGTGATACCTTCAGTAAAACCATGTCGTCGACCTGAAACTCCAACTCGGATCGATGCCTGTCAACGTAACTTTTCTTCCGACTCTGAGTTCTCTGCAACCTCTGTCTGATCTGTTGAATAATCTTTATTGTCTGAAGGAATATGTAACATTCGAAAAATTCTTGAAAATTTTAAACTTTTTAAATAACCACAAAACCATCATTTATTACAAATTGTTTTCAAAATAAGTTTCACATCAGAGTTTTCCTAGAAATCATAACACAAAACACGAGGAGGTGCACGATCAAGCCTTCACCTTCCCGCGATCATCTGAGGTACCTGAAACATAATCAAAACTGTAAGCCCAAAGCTTAGTGAGTCTTCCCCAAAATACCACCACAATACATAATCAAAACTATCACACAACAGCATGCATACAGAACCTTCAGCATGTCTGGACCGCCTCACTGGGCCTTCAGCCTGTCTGGACCGTTCTCCAGGCCTTCAGCCTGACTGGTCCACCTTACAGGCCTTCAGTCTATCCGGTCCGATCTGGGTCTATTGGCCTTCAGCACAAAGCAGGATCGCCTCAACCCAACCACACACATGTCGACATATACATAACTCATAAACACATAATCAATCAACAGACAAACACAGATCGCACAGATCAATAAGCATAGCATCATCCTATCTACCAGGATTCAGATCTAACAGATCACTACAACACTCACTCATACAATAACCATGATAACAAACCAAGGGTCGGTATTGGTGCCTTCGACCCATAAGTACAGTGAGGAAAACTCACCTCACAAGTAGCTGAACTGATAAAATCTAACTTTGAATCTCGGCTCCCGACTCAAATGCCTACAACCAACATGTGACCAAATCCGTCAAAATCTCGAAATACCCAAAATACCCTCAAAAGTCCAACTTGGTCAACCACAGTCAAAGTCAAAGTCAACGGTCAAGGTCAACAGTCCATGTTGACCCAATTCGTCGAGTGCACCTCTTGGACTCGTCGAGTTCTACAGAACTCAGGAAGTCGGGGAAAACCCTAGCCAACTCGTCGAGTTGTCTGGACAAATCGCTGAGTTTTCCCCAAGTTAACACATATAGTTGATTCCTCGATTTCATGGACTTTAAGGCTCAGATCTAAACTCCATATGTGTCTAAAAGGATAAAGTTTCCAACTTTATCCTTTGGGGCTACTACAAATGCTCAAAACTCTTCCATAATACTTGAAAACTTAGAGTCTTAACCATTAAGCCCAAAAATCCTTGAGATCTGGAACACAACTTTTCCTGAAGAGACTCAAGCCCTAAAAACGTCCCAAAGACGGGTGCTTTATAGACATGCATGTCTTGAACCAAAAATAAGCCAAAAAGGGGAAATATGACCTAAACTCCATGCATGGCATCAAAACTT